GGCAGAGGCAGAGGTGCATGGGTAAAAAGCAGAGGGAAGCCTGGCCTTGTCTTTCCCTGCTCAAAACCTTCAGGGGCTGCCCACCTCCCCAGGGTGAAGGCAGTCTCACCTCCTCAGCTCTACCTGTCTCTCCTGCCTCAGCTCGCACCTGCCCTGGGATCTAGTCTTATGTTCCCGTGTCCCAGCTCCTCTCCTGATCTTGGGCATCCTGTCCCCTCTGTCTGTTCTGTTCTTACCTCTTCACCTTGCTCCTTTCTGCTGTTCCCTTGGGTTTCAGCTGAGGTGTCACCTCCTCCTGGAAGCCTTCCCTGACCACCCTGCCTCCAGCCTGGGTCAGGGTGCTGCTTCTGTAGCTTGCACCCTACACTCATCCCCATCCTCATCGTATCACACACATGTCCCTATTGTCTGCCCGCTGGTCCTCCTGTCCCAGTGGATGTGGGCTCATTGAGGGCAGGGTCTGGATCATGTCCAGCCCCTGGCCTTGGCACAGAGATCATAGTAAATGGTCACTGGGTGTGTGAGAGGGAAGGAGGCTAGGAAGAGAACCGACAGAGAGGGAGGCTGGTGGGGCTCATAGGACCCCTGACCACAGATAGACCTGCGAGAAGCCAACAGTATCGCCATCATGCTGGTTCCTAGGAGCCCCCCGGGTCTTCCAGGCTGTACACCACACCCCCACTCTGTGCCCAAGGAAATCAACCTGCAGGAGGGAGAGGGAGAGGAGGAGGGGGCCCAGGGAGATTCTGCAGCGCTGGGTCCCTCAGCCCTGGGTTCTCCTGAGCCCTGGGGTGGGGTCCTCACTTTTGCCTCCCCAGGACCTCCTGCAGGCAGAGGACAACCCTCTGGTTGGCACATTGGCGAGTGCAGGGAGAGACACACATGCAGACATGGAAACGTGGGGGACCCTGATTTTCAAGAAATCACAATGGTTAGTCAGGCCAGGGGCAGATGGCTGCCTGTGAGAAGCCTCATCGCACCAACCTTCTAGAACTTTTCCAATCCATCCTCCCCTCCCTGCCCTATCCCGTCAGCCCGGAGCTGGGGTCCCCATAAGACTGGAGAGTCCCTACCTCGGAAGGTCACTTTGGCGATCCGGTCGCCCCTGCCCCGCAGCTCGGAGACCGTCTTGAGGTGGACGAACAGAGCCATGCTGGTGCGGGAGCCTGGGTACCGCCAGGCGGGAGCAGCAGGGGAAGGAGTGAGCTCTGTGGGTGGAAGGCACTCGGCACACGTGCCTCCCTCCTCTCCTACACCGCCTCCTCTCCCCTCCGATGCTGCCCACAGAGACTAAGGCAACCAAGCCCAGCTGCTCCTTACAGAGACTCACAGCCCGGCCAACCTCCACCCCTCCAAGTTGTCAGCCCAGCGTGTGTGCATCTGTGCGTGTGTGTGTGGTGCGCCCGTGCGCAGCCTAGCAGCGCAGACGGTCTGAATTCATTATTCAGCAGCCGCCTGCTCCCAGATAAAGGACGGCCCAGCTTCAGGTGTCTCCTCGCAGCTCCTGGGGCAGAGCTGCCTGCCCTCCCCTCCACAGGGCCTGCCAGGCAGCTCTTCTGCCACCAGGAGCGGGAAGATGGGAGTGGGCATGAGCGCGGTGGGCCGGGTGTGGGGCGGCACCCCTCCCATGGGGGAGAAGGAACTTTACGATCTGTGTGCACAGGAAGCTGAGCTGTTGCACTGATGTTTCAGGGTGCCTCCCGCCCCCCACCCCCAGTCAAGCTGGCCAGCAGGGCTGCTGGTGCCCACCAGGCTCAGGGGGCCTGGACGCTCTGGAAGGGTCACACTGTGCTATGAAGAAATCCCAGCCCAGGGCCCTTCAGCTGGAACATCAGCACCTACTGGATAGCATCAAGGCTGTGCCTGGTGGCCGGTCCCTCAGAAATGGGGGCCCTAAGAGGACAGGGAATGGACTTTCCCACCTGCTCTCACGGAGATTAGGACCCCAAGAGGCCGGGTCCTGACTCCCTGGGATCTGGGAGGATGGAGGTGCTGTTTGGGGGGCACTGAGGAGCCAGGCTAAGCATGGTTGGAGATGCCTGACTGCGAAGGCCTCAGAGGCTTATGTCTTACTAAGGGCAGTACTTCAGGTCCAGGGCACTAACCCAGCCCCGTCCTAGGGCCCGGGCGTGGCGAGATGTGCTGCAGGAGAACTGTCAGCTGCAAGTGGTTGGGGAAGGGATTTCTGTGGCAGAATTTCCAAGGACCAAAGGAGATCTGCCCCTCCTTTCTTCCAGCAGCACACCCCTGGAGGGGCTCAGTGGGAAGGGGACCCTGGGGGCTGGGGTCCCCGAGCCTGGAGCCTTTGCAGGGCCATCTGCACCCTTGTTCTTGCTGTTTGCTCTGCATGGAATGCCCCTACCCCATCCCTAGCCTCCCGGCTCAGCCCGACTGGTGCCTATCCCCGGAAGTGCCTCTGCACCCGCACGGCACTCAGGCTGGGTCGGGTCCTTGTCTGTGCTGTCCCGTCCCCTCTCATCCACTGCTTCCTTGGGCTTCTCCACTTACCTCCCCCGACCCCCGACTGGGAGACCCTGGAGCCCTGCACCTTTGTGTCCCCAGAGCCTCGCATGGTCTCCTGTGGATAGTAGAACATCCCATGAATGTTGACAGGATAAAAGAGTGAGCGTGGTGACCTATCTGAACAGTCTAAAGGTTAAAAAAAAAAAAGAAATATTAAATTTTTACAGCGTGCTGGCAAGAGGTCACTCTCCCTTTGAATTCTATAGTCCAAGCGACCTGCAGGGTATCACAAGCGCATTCTTCCTTCCTTCTAGATGTCTCCTCCTACTCTACCCTATTTTTCTTTATCTCTTTATGTTCTAATTCCTTCTCTCTCTTTCCTTCCTCAATTCCTTCTCCTTTCTCACATTTATCTAGCCATATTGAATTAAAGAATATTTTAGAATATTGTATTTAGGCAATAAAAGTGAAAGTCTAATTTTCTTTTAAAAAAAACAACAGATGTTTAATGTCTCTTTTTAAAAAAACTAACTTCACTAGCGTGTTCCAACCCTAAGGCCGTCAGGTGATCTTTGTAAAGCCTGGTGGCGCTGTACAGGGAAAAAAATCCATCTCCTCCCTAGGCTCTCTGGATGTTCCCTCGTGAAGCGGGGGAGCTTCATGAGGCCTCCTAGGGACCTGTGCATCTTTAGGAGAAAGCCCCTGAACTTGCCCTCGGTAAGGCCTGGAACTTTGCTGAACCTCAGTTTCCATATCTGTGAAATGGTAGCAATTCCATCCGGTCAGCACACAGCACCCCCTGGCTGAGCCACTGACCCTTCTGAAACCTGAGCCAGATCCCACTTTTTAATTTCCGCTCTCCTGACTATCACCCATTTGGGTAACTCTTAGTACGACATTTATTCACTGAATGTGTACTGAACTCCTTCTAGTACCAGGCGCTGGGGACTCAGAGATGAACATGGTAAGTACTAGCCCTCAGGCAGAAGGGGCAAATGGACTTGGAAGCCATGAATGGGGAGAGGGAGTGGGCACCGGACCTTGTCTGGGGATGGAGGTCTCTAGGACCACCTTCCTGGAGTTGTTCTAAAGAACTAAAGGTTGTTCTTTTACGACTTTTATGAATGTTGCTCTTCTCATAGCCCACGTTCTGCGTGGAGAATTTAGAAATCTATAGGAGTGGCTGCGTTTTGAAGGATGGGTGGAGGGTCTTGCATCCCATTTGCAACCATTCATTCCCTTTCAGCTCCTTCTCCTCCCCGGGCCTCAGTTTTCCTGCTCTTGCACCCCTTGGAAGCCTGTGCCCCCGCCGGTTCCGTTGTCATCTGTCCGAGAGAGCCTTCTGAGGATTCTGGAAGCTGAGGTCTTCGTCAGCTAACACTGACAGGGTCAAACTGTGAAGATAACACCCCTCACCTGACAGATGAAGCGAGATTGTGACGGAGGAGGCCAAACTGCAGAGGTGCTTGCTGACACCAGGACTGCTGTAGGGGGAGCCGGGGAGCAGGTGGGGGGCGAGACACAAAGAGCCTGGTGCCTTGGAGGCTGTCTGTCATCACCCCCCCCCCCCCCCCCCCCCCCCCCCCCCGGGGGGCTCTCTCCCCCCCCCCCCCCCCCCCCCGCCACCCCCGCCAATTAAAGACCTTAGGCCCCACCCTGCCCTACATGTGGCCCAGGGCTGTGTGAGGGTCACTGGAGAAATCTGGGTGTGGGCACCGAACACCTACAGGAGGGAGGCACTATGACCAAGAAACCTCACCTGGGCCGGCTGAAGCTTTGCTCTCTGGGGCAAAGGCCCAACCCTGGATTCACAGGAGGGACTGCGCTGCAGAACTGGGGCAAGTGTAAATCACACACTAGACCTTTTCACGACTGGCTTTTGCTCCTTACTTACAAACCTTTCTTGTGGAGTAGTGTGAGAGGCAAGCGGAGGTGAGAAGGAAGTTCCTAGGGAGAGAGGAGAGATTAAGGAGAAAAATGTCCTTCGCTCCCGACGTCCGTGCACACACACACACACACACATACACACACACTTAAATTACAGTGACCTGGGCAAACACACGAAGTGGGACACACGTCTGAAGCCCCCTCCTGGAGGCCCCGCGGAACGGGGGCCCGGTGGAAAACCTTGGGGAGCAATGGCTCTTGACGTCCCTGTGGCCACTCGGGCCCTGGGGCAGAGCCGAGCTTGGGCTGCTGCTTTGTGCACCGTTTCCACCTCCGACCCGCCTCGGAGCATCACCCATCTGGCCTGGCGGGGAAGCTGAAAGATGCAAGGATGCGAAAACAGAGGCTTGGGTGGGAGCGGCGATTTGCGGGGTCACACAGGAGAGCACGTGGAGATGCGGGAACATCTCGCGGGCGCGCCCCGCCTGGCTGCTCCTAGAAGAGGACGGCGAGCGGGGTGCGGGGCCCCGGAACGCCGCGGCGGCGGCGCAGCCCCCCTGGCGTTGCCAGGCGCACGGTTGCCGGGTAACCCGTGCTGTCTACAGTGTGGCCAGAGCGCCCGGGCTCGCTGCGCGCTCGCCGCCCCCATCATGGCCTCCCGCGGTGCGGGCGCCCTACTGACCGAGTTCAACGCCGCCTACGTGCCCCCCGGCCTCATGCCCGGGTATGACCGCCGCACACCAGGCCTCGCCTGAACCTGGGGCTCAGAGCCCCTGCGGGCGGTCTCTCCCCTCCTCCCTCCACAAAACCCTCCACCGGCCTCCAAACTCCGCCCTTTGGGGGCCGAAGGAACCCGGGGCGCCAAGCTTTCACCTGGCGGGGTGGCCTCCCCAGGGGTCTGCGCTCTCAGAGCAGGCAGTGGCTGGGCGCGGCGGGGGCTCTCCAGGCCCCCTTCGGTAGGAAGTTGGTACCTAGCGAGCGCGGAGCCCGCCGGGCCGGGATAACCGTGGTTGGGGTCCGGGTCAGCGGGAGGCGGGGGAGTCGACGTGTGGGGTTGGTGTTCGGAGATGCCGGGCAGGAGCAAGAGGGTGAGGAGTCCCCGAGAAGGGAGCGGGTTCTTCGGCCCCCACTACATTGCGGGCACGCAGGATTCCCGCAACATGAATTACTTGTTGGTTGAAGGAGCGAAGGCGACCGGGTGGGCACCCGGGGGCGGGGCTCGAAGAATCTGACCAGGCAGGACCGGCAGTAACGTTTGGTGGTGTGCGCTACCCACCGGATCGCCTCCTCGGTTCTCCCACTGACCTCACTTAATCCTCACAGAATGCTGCCCTTGAAAGCTTCCCAGCCCCCAGACCTACCCTACCTTTAGCATTTTCGGATGCAGGGCAAAACCTACTTTTCCTTTCTCTGGATGTGTTCACACTCCAGACAGCTAAGGTGCAAGTCTGACCGCTCCCTTCCATTCTTTGGTCCTTTTTCTCAAAGTGTCTGAGATTTCCACTCCCAACCTCCTCTTCCAGGTTGTGAGATTGTCTCCTCTCTTCTACCAGTCAACACGGCCATTGAGGATGGGGGCTGGATTCTGAGAAGCTGCCTGCACTGCACCTACACATCTGTTTTGAAAGAATGAATGAAATTAATGTCTTGAGAGTTTTGCAGGCAGGATCTCCACGTGGGTGGAAAAACACGTGCTCTCTTCTGCAAACTAAACAGGCTGCAAAACAAAGAAAAGGTCTCAGTGTATATTTTGTGTGACGTTTGGGTTGTCTTGAAGCAGAATAAGGCTGACATAGAGGAGCTGTGATATTAAAATAATTTCTGCACACAGAGGTAGTACAGTAAGTAGGGGCCGGTTCTGTAGCTTTAATCCAGCCCCTTGGGGGACAGGGCCTTTCCTGGGCCTTAAAGAGCTCAAAAGCTGCTTCGGTTCCCATCAGACAAAGCTGATTTACCAGGTCACAGTTGTTTGCGGAAGTCAAGCCAGGTGTGTTAGAGAAGATGACTAAGGATTTTCCTCTTAATTCTTTCAATCGTTTAGGCACTCCTTTGATAAAGATGTGTTGAGTGCTTGGGATGGGCCAGGTGTTGGGTTAAGACAAACAAGTGGGGGGCTGCCCTGGAGGGGTTCCCAGTCTGGTGTAAATACATAAGGTTTAGTTCAAAACCATCTCTGCAGCCGTGGATAGTGGTGTTTGCACCACACTCTGGGTGTTTATCATGAAATTTGATTTCATACATTGCTATATTTTTGTCTTAAGCCCACCACAGTCTCCAATGGAACCTAACCCTCCCCCACAGCTCCCCAACTCGGTCCCAGGTTGCGCTGCGGGAAGCTGCATGTTTCAGAAGCAATCCCAGGATACTTCTCTATCCACGCCACTCGTCTGCAGTTCCCTTGAGTGCCCTGTCCTCCGACTGATCTAGAAATTGGGATAACAAGTGAATCATAAATAAGGTTGCAAGCGTCGATGGGCTCGTTTGAGCAGCTGAGCCTCTATGTGTTACTTTCTTGACTGGATCTTTCTGGGAGGGAACTGCTCTCCCTAAAGATTCTCATCAACAAGGAGTGAATTGAGCTGTCTTATGTGTCTAAATGCTACCTTATTGGCAACTTTGTTAACGTAATGAAAGAATCCAAGATTCCCTGTCACACTTGGCTAATTATTATTTTGTATGTCTTTTCAAAGATGAATCACAGGATTTTAAGTGCAAGCAGTCTCTTCTGACACTCAGATCGTCCTCCTTACCAGTTTTACTCAGAGAGGCAGAAATACTTGCAGGGGTGAGGACCTCGGAAGCTAGGCAGTCCAGCCCCACCACCACCTCCCGTTCCAGACGTGGTCACCGAGGTCTGGGGGATGGGGACTTGCCTGGGCCTCAGGCTGGTGATGGAAGAGCTGGGCTGGAACCAGGTCCCTGATGCCCTGTGGTAGCACTGTGAACCCCCAGCACTGAGCTGGGCTTTTTACAAACTTAAAAAAAAAAAATCTTCACAACAACCCAGTTGTCAACCCAGATGCAAAACTGCCCGAGGTCTTTCATCAGGTTGCCCAGCCAGGTCTGTGTGACTTCAACACCCTGCTCTCCCCAACTGCTAGCAGTTATCATCAGTTAGATCTCTACAGTGTTCAAGGCCTGATTCTGGGTACTGAGGGGAACAGGATGCTGGTCCTCAGACAAGGATGCCCCACCTGCTCCCTTGCCGCTTTGGGCAGTACAGCCCTCAGACATCGTGCCACTTTCTGGCCCATGTGCCCTCCCTGCAGGGAGCAGGGAGCTCTCGGGTCAGAGATCCCGGGATTGTAAGGCTTTTGGAGGGATGAGACTGGCTCAGTGAGACTCTGTGCCTCCTGCCCGCAGGTCAGATCTAGGTGGGACCCATCCCTTTGCGCTCTGCCTCCCACCACACCTCACCGGGCTCCCAGTCCGAACATTTGACCTGCCCGTGCATCCTGGGGGACAAAGCAAAGGTCGTCTGCCCAGGAGGATGTAGGAGGCCCAAGTGCCCACATAGCTACCTGATGCCACTCACACAGCCCTGAGGAACTGGGGAGACTTCCTAAGAACAGGGGATGGGCGGCTCCGGCAACCTGGGCTTCGTAACAGGGACCCTCCTTCTCTGCAGAAGAATCATAAGCCCATAGAGATGTGCTCCCATTTGTCAGTTCAATTCAGCAAATACTTACAGAGCATCTACTGGGTGCCAGGGATGCAAGTATGAGTAGAACCCAGCCCTCTCTCCCCATGGAGTTGACAGTTCAGATAGGAAGAATATACTAGGGCCCAGGTAATTACAACACAGCAGAATGTGAATTGAGACATAAGAGAGGCATAAAGATTGAAGACAGTTCAATGGCAGGGACAGGCGTGGTCTATGGGTGGGTCGGAAGAGGCTCGATGGGAAAGGGGGTGTATGAAACGTACCTTGAAGGATGGATAAGATCACAATCTGGGGAGAGGAGGAAACATCTTCTGGACGGAGGGGATGGCATGGGGAGGAAGTACCAGCAGAATATGCTTTGAAAGCAACAAATGGCCTATTTGCTTGGAGTGGCAAAGCTGGTGTTACCGAACCAAACTTGGGTCTTCTTGCCTGCGCACAGTGAAACCAATCCATTGACCTGCGTTGCTGTGAAGGAACGTGCCGCGTTTATCGCAGGGCACCAAGAAAGGAGTCCAAGTAGCTAGTGCTCAAAAGCCCCCAACTCCCCAAAGGCTTTCAGGCAAAGGCTTTTGAAGACAGGGTGAGGGAGGGGGTTTGTGGGGTGTGTGATCAGCTCGTGGACATTCTTCTGATTGGTTGGTGGTGAGGTCATCAGGAGTTACCATCATCAACCTTCTGGTTCCAACCAGTCTGGGTTCTAGGTCCTTGCGGGCAGCATACAATTAACTTCTTCCACCTGGTGGGGTCAGCATCTGCAAAATGGCTCAAAGGACATGGCTCGGAATATTATCTATGGTCCTTGCGGAGGAACTAGAGGTCCTTGACTTTGTTTAATGGCTGAACTGTTATTATTTTGTCTTGCTTGACTGTCTTCCTTTCTTTCTGCATTTTCTCACGTCTCTATTAAATTGATTCTTTGGAACTCTGGGAAGGCCTAGGAGGCTGAAGATTTGCTACAGACAAGAAGCAGTTGGAGGACATGGTTGGGGATTCTGTCGCTGGAAAGCCCCATAGGGTCCTGCTCAGTTACACTGGGACACAGAAGTGGATGATGAGACTGGAAAGACCTCTCACAGGGGCCCACGTCAAGCAGGGCCTTGAGCACCTGGCCCAGTTTGTTCTTAATTTCCCAGGTGATGGGGAGCCCTTGAAGGTTGTTGCCCAAGGGAGGGATCTGACCAGAACCGTACTCAGCAGGAAGTGTGTGGAGAAGAGGGTGCTCTTGGAATGAGAACAGGCTGAACAGTAACAAGTTAATTAGTTAATAAGCTGCTCGTGGGATCCCTGATGGCGAACGGTAATTAATTTGAATGTTAGCTGGGGGACCAAGCAGTGCTGTTAAGAGGCGGGGAGGGATGGCTCCCCGCGTGCACAGTAACCACAGGGGGCTTTGACTGTGGACCGGGCTGAGCACCTTCTCCAAGCTTGTGTGGTGCGCAGGTGGGTGAGGGGCAGGGTTGGACGAAGGGGTCGAGGAGGAGGTGTGAGGGTCCGTAGGGACCATTCGATGCCCCATTGTGAAACATGTCGTGCCCCTCTGTCCTCTCCACCATGGCATGCCACACGCCCAACAAAAACGGGGCTCTACCATGGAACCGCACTGTCATGCTCACAGCTCGCAAATGCAAGTGTGTACAGGGACATAGACCTACTAGTCAAGGCGTGCCCTCCGAGGGCTAAATAAATATGACCATGTGCATGGGCACGCACGTGCGCGCACACACACACGCGCACGTGTGCACGGGTCCCCGCCCACAGCAAGAGGGGCTGAATGGAATCTAGAGCCCACGCAGAACCTTAGGAGGATTGCGGAGGAGAGGGCTTCTCTTCTATTGGGATGCAAATATCTTGGCTTTCAGAGAAGGTGGGAAAGCAGGGAGCAGAGGAGGAGTGTGGCAGAGAGCCTGGGGGTGGCAAAGACAAGAATCACGATGACATGTCACTTTTCTATAGCTCCTTTCTTTGAGGTGCGCAGACGCCCCTGTGGGTGGGACTCTCTGGAGCCCAGCGTTCCAGGAAATGGTGCCCCCGGCTTCTGGACTTCGGCGTCCTTCAGTGAACATTACTGAGCGCTTGTCATGTGTCGGGGCTGTGCAGGTTTTGAGGATAGAAGAG